CTGAATTAAACAGAATTTTGAGTGAGGGATAAATAGGATGGGACTTGGTTGATCCTTCGAATTAAACTATAAATTTCTCCGTATTTGAAAGTTGGTGGAAACTGTCGGGATTATGTAAGTACACATCTAATAGAAATATATAACATAGATACAGTTATTTTTGCTATTTTTAAAGCAGAAAAAATACATATTGTGGCTTTAATATTATTTCTCCACCTCTAGGCTAAGTTTGTTGGCTTTTGCACTGACGAATCATTAAATGAATAATCAGAGAGCATTTTATTGATTTATGTTGAATCGGAACTTGAGTGTTTTTGATGAACACATTTGATGACGTCATCTCAGGTAGAGTCTCTCTGATCGGTGTGGATAATTAAGATTTGATGTCATTATCACACACACACACACACACACACACACACACACGCTTATAAATAATAAATCACAGCCAAAGACTGGTTATTTTTAGCAGACCGTGAGTCATTAATGTAACAGTTAGGAGAACATCTGCTGTACTTCTCATCAAACCTGAAACTGAGTGTGTCTGTCTTGGTTAAAAGTGTTACGGTGCATTTGCACGCATTTGTTAAGAGAGAAACAACAGCAGATGAAGCGCTGCTTTCCAGAAACACACACACACATACACATACACATACACACACCTCATGGTTTTCCTGAGGCAGAAAACATCTCTTTTCCCAGCTAACAAATATGCTCTAAAACATGTGCAATGTTTATAAAACGTTACCCGAGCGTTGTTTAAAACGTTCATAATAACATTACACGAACGAACGTTCCAAAACACGTGGTTCTCCGAACGTTTGCTCTCAACGTCATCAAACAAGAACGTTCCATTAAAGTTATTTTAAAGGACGTTTTGCCTCAACCTTTACATAACTGTGCTAACTAGGTAGTGAACTGCCTAAATAGACGACATCACATGCATACTCTCCTGCGGTGTTTATGCAGATGGCAATAAATTATAAATATAAATGCATAAGAGAGCGCTGCATCATAAATGTATGGTGCATTTATGATGCAGATGGTTAGTGCAAATAATTAACAGTAGTAGGCCTGTGTGATGGAGGTAGAAATGAAAAGAATATACGCAGCATCGATTTTCATGTCGCATTTGAAAAAAAAAAAGCTTTATTGCCTTGTAGGCTCCTTCGTTAATCGTTACAGTTACTATACAGCGAAACTGCGTGCTTGTACTTGTGCACGTGTTTGCGAACTTGCATAATATAGCCAAATCTGACATTAGCTACCTTCTGTTCTTTGTAGTGAATCTGATGGACTCAGTGAAATTGTGACTATTTTTACACAATATTTGTGTGTGCTGTGTATTTTTATGCTTATTAGTCTAGTGTTTAAAATAGGTGTAAGTTCCATTGCAGTTAACATGATGCTTATTAGACAGCTTTGCTAACTCTATTCTCTCTGTGGCATTGAGCTGCATGCAGAGACTGAGCTGACCTACAGGGGGCGCTGTAACACAGCACACTGTTGCACTGCAGAGAGAGAGAGAACACGCAGAAAGTATCAAAGAGAATAAAAGCCTGTAATCATTGAAATGGTACTGGTCTACAGAGGGAACATGTTGCGGCAGATTTTCTCTGCTGTAGGCTATTTGTACTACTTTATATACAGTAGCCTACATGGCTCACGTGACCCGTCAGATGCTGATTTACATCTTCAGAAAAGCTCGTCTAAAGGAAATACGTAGATTTGGCGATCGCATTTAGCCCACTAATGTTAACCCTATTGTAAAGTGTTCCCATTTCTTCTGATTTCGGTGTTTCGTGGTGTTTTGTTTGAAAAGCAATGAAAAGCACCTGAAAGCATCGGTGACGCGTCCACTACACGTGAAAGTTCATTCTGTTAACGTCCTCTCAGACACACGAGTGTGAGTGTGTGTGTGTGTGTGTGTGTGTGTGTGTGTAACTGAGAAACTTTCCCTCTGTCACCGGCCTGGTCTTCAGCTCTCAGATTTCTGGATTGGTTTCTTCTCCGTGTCGGACTTACAGCCAAACTTTACCTGACTGACGTCACGATGACGTCAGATACTAACAAACACTTACTCGTATTAAAAAAATATAATAATAATAATAATTTAGGTAAACTAATAACCCTCTGTAGGCCACTTTTTATTGACCTGCTGGAAAATGAAGCTGAAATGTCTTGTTTACATGGTTTGTTGCTTGTCTAAATTGACCATTTAAAGTCATTATCAGGCCTGACCTGATTTAATAAAAAAAAAAAAAAAAAAAATTAATCAAGATGCAAACCAGCGCAAAAAAAAAAAAAAAAAAAAAAACATTAAACATCTTGTTTTTTTCAATGTTCCAGTAGGCTATCATCTACATAAAAGTAAAATATGATAAACATCGTTTTAATCAGCGCTATATGAAAGATCTCCTCCAGCATCAACACCTCTGAGGGAAGTGTGTGTATGTGTGTGTATACGCCTGCAGAAACACTGCGGTGAGGCTCAATCCACTCAGGACACACACATCAGTATCAAAAGAAGAGATGAACACACACTGTAAACAAGCCGTGCATCAGTGATCACTCCAGAGACCAGAGTCTTCAAGATGAAGATGATGCTCCATAAGAGACGTATTACACTTTCCTCCGGTGTGCGCGTGTGTGTGTGTGTGAGGGAGAGAGAGAGAGAGAGAAAGAGAGATGTGTTTGTGTGGGTGAGAGAGAAATTGTGTGTGTGTGTGTGTGTGTGTGTGTGTGTGTGTGTGTGTGTGTGTGTGTGTGTGTGTGTGTGTGTGTGTGTGTGTGTGTGTGTGTGTGTGTGTGTGTGTGTGTGTGTGTTGGATTGAGGTTAAACTTGCTGACTTGAGAGCAAAATGTGACTCACACACAGATTTATAGTGTAAATATATGAATAGAGACTTTTGCAGCTTTTTTGTTTTGCTTTTATTAGACATCTAATGAGGAAAAATGATGGACTAATAGAACTTAGGATTTTTTTATTTACGTCCCTTTAATGAGGTTTTGGTTGGTCAGATTATAGAAAATAGGCCTATATTTATTCTATCTATCTATCTATCTATCTATCTATCTATCTATCTATCTATCTATCTATCTATCTATCTATCTATCTATCTATCTATCTATCTATCTATCTATCTATCTATCTATCTATCTATCTATCTATCTATCTATCTATCTATCTATCTATCTATCTATGCATGCATGATGTCTTGAAGGAGGTTTTACTTTAATTTATTTTAATTGACATTCAGCCTAATTTCTGGAGACATTTTCAGTTTAATAACGTAGTTTTTTTTTACATTTAGCAATTGTGTTTTTTACGTTTTTTACGATTATGAAGACATTTTTGTGCGGAAACAATATTCAAGTAGGCTACACACACACACATAGCTACACTTGTTTAGTTCTGAAGCACCTCACGGTACATCTCAAGCGTTGTGGGCGGGGTCAGAACTGGATCTGTCCAATCAGAGCTCGTTGCGCACCCGGTGGCTCGTTTATAAAGCTCGTTTCCGCATGTGCATTTCATCCTTTCATGCTTACTCGCGCGCGGGTGAGAGAAGCTGTTCGCTCGGTGTGTGTGTGTCTGAGCGTGTGTGTATATGAACGGAACCGAGCCGTGGGAGACCCAAATGCGTGAGAGCTCGAGGAGAGAAACACTGTCCATCCACCCCGCGTCATCTAGAGGTGAGATTCACTATACAACACTACAGTGTTTATAAACACACACACACATAAAACGTGTCAATGTAATGTCACATGTCTTAAAATAGCCTTTGTGATATTAATAATGAGCAAAACGGCTGTTTCGTCTCTGTCAAGGGCGATTGATCTGGTGTGTGTGACAGAACCGAAATAACTATTCTGTACACGTGCGTGTTTGTGTGTGTGTGTTGGTTATGACAGTTTAGTGTGTTTTCAGGGGAACGCGCATGTGTGTGTTTGAAGAACTGCAGTTTTCTTCCTCTGCTGTATCAGAACATGTTGCATTCATCAGTTTAGCGAGTCTGGGTCAGAAGAACAACAGTTCTGCATCTGAGAGAAACACAGGTTCAGTGTGTGTGTGTGTGTGTGTGCGTGTAGAAGAACAGCTTGTTTCTTTATAAGGCAGGTGAATAGCAGTGTTGTCAGTAGTTTGAAAGTCTGTTTGCATTTGTGAGAAATGTTATTTTAGTCTGAATGTGTGTGAAGAACACAGTGGCTGTACATGAAAACATTCATTTAATCTGTTTGAAAATCTGCAGTTTAGCCTATGTAGGTAGGGGACAAAAGGGAAATGGAGTATTATGGGAGCATTGTTTAAAAGTGTGTGTGTTTGAATGAGAATGTCAATGTATCTAAATGTTTGTAATAGTCCTGTGTTGTATTTACTTTATTTATGAATTTCTATTATGATATTGTTTGTTGTAAAGAAGGGACCCCCTCGAAAATGAGATGGTTCATCTCAAGGGGCTATCCTTGAAACAAATAAATTAAATAAATAAATAAAAGTGGAAAATTATCGTTTAATCTTTGCATTGTGAGACATGCTGCTTTTGTTCATTTTCTGGAGAACAGCTTTAGTCTATAAAATGTGTGCTGAACAGGGGTTTAGTGTTTTTAGCATAACCTTTCAAATCCACGGAAACTTTCGATTCCACAAAACGTTCTTAGAATTTTTAGAATGTTGTTCAAACTAATGCGGAAAGAACGGTTCTCTTGAGACCTGAAGGTTCCAAAAATTGTTATATTGCATTGCAGCAAAAAAATAAAATAAATCATAAATATATAGGCTATATAATGTATGTATGTATATTTTTTATAGTGTGTGTGTGTGTGTGGAGAACAACAGTTCAGTCTTTGCATTTGTGAGGAACGCTGTTTAGTGCGTGCGTGCGTGTGTGTGTGTGTGTGTGTGTGTGTGTGTGTTTGGCTTTCCTTCATCCTCCAGAAGAAGCGCAGGAGTTCAGAAACTAGTGCAGATGGGATGTTAGAGAGAGAGAGAGATGGAGATAAGGAAGGAAGGCTAAACGCGAGCGCTTCTCAGCATAATGCGTCTTAAACCGGTCGATGTTGTGTGTGTCGCCTCGTTATAACGGAGCATGGGCTGTGTCGCGTCCAGAACGCCAGTGGGTGAGAATCTGTTTTCCTCTGAGCATGAAAAGCGGGCGTGTGAAACCTGAGCTCGACTGCAGCTCACACACACTTCAGATGCAGAACAGAGATGTGCACACACACACTGCAGGCTTTTCTCTTATAGTGCTTGCGAGTGCATGTGTGTGAGGCGATCGCACAGATCACGGAGGGTGTGTATGAATCTGCATTAAACCTGCATCAGTGCTCGTTCATCACATGCTGGATCCTCGACTCGGGTTACATGACTTCATTGTGCAGTCATGATGCATGTACAGTATGCAGTGAACCAGCAGCGTTTACAGCATGTCGACGACAATTAGTGTCAGTGTGTTTCTTCAACTACAGCACTTTTATGTCCTAGAGGCTGATTTATATTCAAACTGGTTACACTTTATTTTAAGGTGACGTAGGTATTGTACTTACTCTAAGACTGAGTACTTTAGGGTTATGTTTTGGTTTAGTGTTAGTTACTTATGCATATAAGTTGTTATTACTAGCAGCTAGCCTACATGTATGTAACTACGTCATTACCGTTATTGTATTTAAGTATTGAGTAACATTAACTATGTAATATAGGGTTAGTGTAGGATTAGGATTTGGTTGAGGGTTAGTTGCATGTATTTATGCATAATTTAATTAGGCTACTATTGTAAGTAGGCCACATGTATACTAACAAGGACACTGTAAAATAAAGTGTTACCAAACTGGTCTCATTATAAGTGAATTGGAAACAGTCAGAATTGGACAGAATTAAGTTAACATCAGCGTCAAGCACTAGTTGCATGTATTATTTCTTCAAATTTGGACACTTTTGACTACATTTGAAGAAATAATAGCCTACATGCAATTAGTGCTTGACGCTGATGTTAATTTAATTCTGTCCAATCCGTTTATTCATTGTTACTTTTCGATTATTTATTTTATATATAGATTTTTATCTTTTGACCCAGATTAATGCATTCAGTTTTCAAACATATACAATTTATGTTAATCTTCTGGTGATTATTAAAAAAAAATATTTGAAATGCCATTGCAATTGAATTGCAGGATGTACTGAATTTGAAACGTGTATTTAAAAAAAAATGCACAGGGTCAAAAGTGTCCATATTTGAAGAAAGATACATGCAAATAGTGCTTGACGGTAATGTTAATTTAATTGTGTCCATCATTAGCCTAATGTCCAGGTCTTTCCCCACGATCCAAGAAGCGAGTACGGAAAAACTAAATCCAACGCCTTTCCACTCCGAGAGTCTCGAACAAATAACCTCAGATTTATTTTCACCACGCAAATCGTTTCTTAATCTCGTGTTGTAATTATTAATGACGTATCAGGATACCGGGGCCATATAACCCTGCACGCGCCATTACTCCTGTAGCGTGAGAGTGTCCCGTTAATTGCTGATAAACGTGCCGGTGTGGCATGACATCCTCGCTGAAACAGAGCGATAACTGTTCCTTTATCTGTGAAAAGTTATACTACACTTACAGTAAAGGTTCTTCATACAATAAAGGTTCTTCATCGGCATTTGTGGTTCAGTGAAGAACATTTAACATCCACAAAAGGTTCTTAATAATAGAAAAACGTTCTTTAGATTATTACATTGTTCTTCAGACTAAATTTGTTTATATTTTAAAGTGATAAAAACACAGAAGAACTAATTCACACAACACCAACTTTTGCTCATGAATTTGTTCTTATAGTTAATGTACTGTAATCCATAAACACACCCGGATAAATGTCCATACAAATTTTACTTTCATCACTAGAATAAGATACTCTCATTTTTAAAACAATGTTTGAAATGTCATTGCAACACACAATTAAATGTGACATTTAGACGGTCAATCATATTGCTAGCATGTTTTAACTCGTTATTAGCACGAATCACCATTGTTGCTAGTATGAATTAGCACATTGATAGCCTGATTTAACATGGTTTAAAGCAAGTTAACCTGTCGCTAGCATGTTTTACATTGCGAGCATGAATTTGCATGTTGTAGCAAGTTTTAACACATTGCTATAATGAAATAGTTTGTTGCTGGTGTGTTTAATGCATTGTTAGCGTGTTGTTAGCAAGTTTAAACACATTGTTATCATGAATTAGCGTGTTTTAGCACTACATGAATTAGCATGTTGCTAGCACATTGATAGCATGTCCTAAGCTACTTTATAGGCTTTGCTAGTGATTAGATAATTGGTGGATGGAAATTAAATACTCTGTTAGAGTTGTTGTTTAAAGGTTTTGTGAGTCAATGTACGTCTATGGGATTTTTTGCGTAGTAAAAAATAGCTAGCTCTTGGAGGAGATACTGACTCATTTTTAGTCAAAGAAAAATGATGTCAGTATGTTGGTTTGGTCAAGTTTGATGCAAATCCAAATATTGCTGTAAAGCAGCTCTAAATAAGATAATAGTGTTGTTGTTCAGCTTGAGTCGGTCAACAGTGTCTGTTACTAAATGAATCAATTCTAAAACCAATTCAATTCAGATTGCAACGAATGAATTGCAGGAATAATGACCTCCAAAGGAGTGTGTAAAAGTATCAGCGGAGTCAGATTGCATCAGCTTTGACCTGAAACAGCCACGCATTATAAGTTTTGCTGTCACCCTGGAAAGGACAAGGACGGGAGATTCGTCTCGGTACGGTTATCAGGACAAGGACGACGTGTACGCTCACGAAAGCGCTTCACTGTGAACGTGTACATCCAGACTGAGTGAGGTCATCTCTCCGGCCCCAGATGGCCCGGGCCGCCGGTGGCCTGGAGTCTTTCCGTGTCCCGGCGCGGGGCGACGACCAGATGGATGCGATACGGTTTGCTAGAGAGGTTTATGTGTTGGAGGACCAGGGATTTTGGACACAAGAATTATTTTTCAGCTCTCAGTCTGGCTCTCATCAGGTGGTTCTTCTGTTTGATTTGTTTGTGGGTCACTCCGCTAGAGCTAAGCGTCTGTAAAATCGTGCCGGTGAGTCAGCGAAGCGCCCTGTGGATTTCATACTGATGTTATTGGAGATAATATCGGCCTTTCTGTTTTCAGCAACAGGTCTGGCAATCAATCTGACATTAATCCAGAGAGAATCTCACTAAAATGGGTGTAGGTTACGTTTCACCTCAGCAATTGTGTGTGAATATGTCTTAAAATATCTCGAATGTAACCTTGTCTCATTTAGTATGCGCGGTTATATGAATATGCAAATGAGCCCCGCCCCCACTCACTCAACTCAGGGATCCACTAGTTGACGATGCTTTAAGACTTTACCATGTGTAAATTAAATTCATAAGTAGGGCCTATTTATAAGTTATCGACAGTATTGTTGTGTCAACTTATGAATTTACACATGGTTTGTCTTGAAGCATATGAAAAACACCACATAGACATATAAATAGGGTTGGGTATCGAGAATCGAGTATCGATTGGAACCGGGACTAACTTTTCGTTTTTCCCGGAATCGTTCAAAAGTTAAAATTTCGATTCCTAGTTTCGATATTCACAGTCCGCCGAGCGGAAGAAGAAACCGCTGAACAACACCAATGAAGAAGCGTCTACCAAAAAATGTTGGCATAACCGCGCGAGTTGAACATGAGTAGCTTACGTCGGCGATCCAAAGTGTGGCTTCACTTTTCTAAAAATAACGAAATCTCGGCAAAATGCTAAATTTGTGACAAAAGGAGTATTTCCTTCAGAAAAGCCGTTGGTTAGCAAGGTTAGCTAAACTTTTTTGACCCTGCCTCTTAAAAGAATCGGAATCGAGAATCGTTAGGAACCGGAATCGAAACAAGGAATCGGAATCAGAATCGTTCAAATTCAAACGATACCCAACCCTACATATAAACAACATTAAAAGCTGGATTTCTCGCTTTGAGTGAATGTAAACAGACTAAAGGCCTTGTTGATGTCTGAGGTTAGAGAAGAATGACTGTTCCAGCTGATAGGAAGTCAACATTAACTCAAATGAGCAATCGATACACCTGAGGTCTTCAGAAGAGCATCTCTGAACACGTCAAACCTTGAAGCAGCAGAAGTTTCTGTCAGATGAGAACAGAATTCACGCAGGCTCAACAAAACTGGACAACAGACGATTGGAGAAACATTGGCTCTGGATTTCTGCTGCAATAATCAGATAAACAACAGGAATGCATGGATCATCCTGCCTTGTATCAGGGGGTTTAATGGTGCTGGGGATTCGTCCTTCCCTTCATGACCACAGTGACCATATTCCTTTGGCTACAAGGCTCATCATCATGTCATGTGGACCAGAATCTCTGAGGAATGTTTCCAGCAGCTTGTTGAATCTCCGGAAGCAGATCTGACTCGCTACTGTACCTAATAAAGTGGCCGGTGAGTGGATGAGTTCTTGGCATGTTTCCATGAGATTAGGTTAAAAGTAAAATGGTGTCATTGAGGGAAACGAACACCCCTGCTGGAGTCCAGACTGACTGGTGGACCTCCGCGGTCGTCCACGTCCCTCGCTGTCTCTATTGTCTGCATGGATTGGGTTTTATTGACCCTCATTAGGAAAGAGGTTTGAGAGCAGAGGAAACCCAACACGATTGGAGCCCGGGGTGTTAAAGGAGTAGTTCACTTTTAAAAAAACTTTTGCTGATAATTTACTCACCCCCATGTCATCCAAGATGTCCACGTCTTTCTTTCTTCAGTCGAAAAGAAATTCCAGGATTTTTCTCCATATAATGGACTTCAATGGGAACCAAACGGTTCAAGGTCCAAAAGACAGTTTCAGTGCAAACTGTAAACTGTTCAAAGGGCTTTAAACGACACCAGATGATGAATAAGGGTCTTATCAAGCGAAACGATCGCTCATTTAAAAAAATATATAAATTTTAAGTTTTATAAGCTCAAATGGTCGCCTTGCTCTGCTCTGTGATGCGCGTTCGTGACAGTCATCAAAATGAACGAATCTTTTCCCGAGTCAATTCGTTCGTTTCATTCGTTGAATGAACCAAATGACACGGAAAAACATTCGTTCATTTTGATAAACGAGTTCGAACAGAAAAGTCACGAATGCGCATCACAGAACAGAGCAAGGCGAGCATTTGAGCTTATAAAACTTAAACTTTCTGAGTGATCATTTCGCTTGATAAGACCCTTATTCATCGTCTGGTGTCGTTTAAAGCCCTTTGAACAGTTTGCAGTTTGCACTGAAACTGTCTTTTGGATCTTGAACTGTTTGGTTCCCATTAAATGGAGAAAAATCCTGGAATGTTTTCATCAAAAACCTTAATTTCTTTTCGACTGAAGAAAGAAAGACGTGGAGATCTTGGATGACATGGGGGTGAGTAAATTATTAGCAAAAGTTTTTTTAAAAGTGAACTACTCCTTTAACGGGACGGTAGGGCTTTAACCTCTGACCTTTATCTCACACACTGGTTTAAGCTCACAGAGGTTGTCACTAATGTTTCTAAAGGATCATCTGGAGTGCATATGTCTGGTTCCAACCCGATCTCACGGGAATTCGTACAAATTTTACGAGGTGGCTAATTCGTAACAATTCGTACGACCTCACTACATATTTTACGAATTAACCAATTCGTATGAATTCGTACGAATGACCTACCCCTGACCCCGCCCCTAAACATAACCGTCACGTGGGTTTAGACAAATCGTACAAAATCGTACGAGTGAGGTCGTATGAATTAGCCACTTTTGAATCACTCGTACGAATTGGTCGTGAGATAGGGTAGCTGGTTCAAATTTCGTCCCTGAAATCAAAAGAAAGAACTGAGAAATGATACAGTCAAACCCACATGTATTCAGACACTTTCATTAATGAACTATAGTGTCCTGCACCCACTTGTAGAAAAAAATATACACAATTATATATGGTGTCTGAATAATTATTGATTTGACTGTATTTTGCAAAAGGAAATTGAAACCTATTTTACGATTGTTTGCATTGTGACATGACATTTGCATTAATGTCCAAATTATCATAATTATAATGTGACGGGATATTTTACTTGTAAATTTGTCATTTTAATTATTGTCACGGATGGTATAAATCTAGTCTTTTTATACAAATTTTTACTTTTTTTTTTTTTGCCATTACAGTAATGATAATTGTTTAGCGGTTTGCATTAAAATAATGTGAATTGGTGAGGGCAATGAAGAATTGTCATGATCTTATACAAACTCATAAATGATAAAGATTTTAAATATTATTAGCTATATTTATAAATACATACATTATAAATATTGTTAACAAATATTGTTAGGCTTCTTTTCCTTTGTTAAATGTAATTTATGTTCTAATGATTTTGTGATGAAATATGACACCAAGGATGAAAACTATAAGTATTGAATGCATTGCTTGTCAATGATTTTATGGTTTATCAGCTCGGATAATAAAAAATAGGTTCAACAATATCATTACTTTGTGTCATTATCGTTATAATTGTGGTATGGACATACTTTGACATTTAGACAATTTAAATATTGAGCGCTATTGTAATCGTCCAAGTTCTCAACATGGTGCACATAAGATGATGCAGAACTGAACTCTATATACAGTAGTTGGCGTTTCCCATGGGAATGTTTCTCCTAGTCAACATGTAAGTGTTAATGAACTGGGAGCACATGCACACAGGAAATGATGTCATCCGTGGTGTGTGACGACGTCTCGCTGAGGGAGTGTGGTGTGTGACATTAGATGTGAGGAGGCCTGTGGTGTTGATCTGTGTGTCAGTCGATCGAGATGCTGGTGCATCAGCTTGAATGATCTGCTGGTCTTTCCTCCAAACTAACCTGACGCACTTTATTCCTCTGAAACTCGTTTTATCACGTGAATCTTACGTTAAAAAAAAAACAACTTGAGAAATAGAATCGAACACCTGAAGTCAGATTTAGATTTGACGACTGTCTTGATTTCCAAAAGCAAGACCGTTCATTGTTTATGATCTACAGCCAATAAAGCATCAGCTTATACTTGTAAAATATACTGTTGTTCCATCATTTGTGCATTTCAGGATAAATGTGAGTATGAGGAAGCAACAGATTTGTATTTTGAACTTTTTGAACTATATTAATTTATTTATTTAAAAAAGGGAAAAGGACGTCTCGTCACCTGTCTATTTAGATCTATTTCTTATACTTTAGTACATGTAAATGCAATAATAATAACATAATATTATTATAATATTAAATATATTAATATAACCATATTAAAATTATTAGTTTATATAATATCCCAGTAGAAATGTAGCTAGCTATATAAATGTGAAGATTATAATATATATATATCTGTCTGTCTTTAATTGCCATCCATATAGTGCTGGGCAATGATTAATCGCGATTAATCGCATCCAAAATAAAAGTTTGTGTCATACCGTGTATAATTATTTTGTATAAACACTTATGTATGTATATGATTTTATTGATGTATAATAGGCTATAAATTATGTACAAACATGAAAATATTTCTTAATGCATGTGGGTGTATTTATATATACTACACTGTAAAAAAAATATTGTTGGTTTAACTTAAAAAAAGTAAGAAACCTGGTTGCCTTACAATTTTAAGTTCATTGAACAGGAAAAAGTGAGTTAATACAATGAAGGAGATTCATCAGAAACTCAAAATGTTATGTTATCTGAACTAAATAAATTATTTAAGTTGATTTGACAAAAGAAAAAATGTTGTGATTACTAACACTGTAAAAAATATTGTTGGTTAAACTTAAAGTAAGTAACCTGGTTGCCTTAAAATTTTAAGTTTATTGAACTGGAAAATGTGAGTTAATACAATGAAGGAGATTAATTTAATCATAAGAAACTCAAAATTATATGTTATCTGAACTAAATAAATTATTTAAGTTGATTTGACAAAAGAAAAAATGTTGTGATTACTACTGTAAAAAAATATTGTTGGTTAAACTTAAAAAAGTAAGTAACCTGGGTTGCCTTAAATTTTTAAGTTGATTGAACTGGAAAAAGTGAGTTAATACAATGAAGGAGATTGATTTAATCATCAGAAACTCAAAATAATAAGTTATCTCAACTAAATAAATTATTTAAAGTTGATTTGACAAAAGAAAATATGTTGTGATAACAAATCTTGTAACACAAACTTTTATTTCGTATATGATGAATCGCGATTAATCGTTACTCAGCACAGATATTTTAGGTATCCATCTATCTATCAGCCCAGTATCAGAGGGATGGTGATGGTGTGGTTGCCATGGCAGTGCTCTTCGGCCCGTGGGGTCAGTGCTGATTGGCTGAGCTCGATCCTCTCTCCCCACAGTGGCGGGCGAAGGGTTGCGCGTGGACTGGAGCGCGAGGAGCTCCTCCTCAGACCTCGTGCTGCTGGGAAACACGCGGACCAGTTTGGCGCGCGGCCTGGGCGGGACATTTGGGCACTCGGACCGTTACCTCAAGGTGCCAAAGTTTCCTCTCAATCTGTTCCATTTCCATTTATACTTCACAGCGTCCGGAACCGGCACTCGCCCCTTTCCCTTCCTCTCCTGTCATTCGCCCCGCGTCGCGCGTTGGCGGGTATTAGAAAGCTGAAAGTGGGACACTTATTCAACGCTTCTGCCATCGCGCTCCAAGGCTTGGCGTTCACCAGCTATTTCTGTCATCATCATACATGGTTGGCAGTCGCGCTTTCACACAACGCCTCCCAAACGCCCTCACTGACGCGCGCGTCACTCTGTCAAATGGGAGCTGATTAATGCTGCAAAGTCAAAGATGGCGGTGTCCTTTCTCTTAACACATACACTAAAACGAAGAATAAAGATCAGGTGTGCTTGGCTTTTTTGTGTTTTAATTAATTTACGAAACCACTGAATCGTTGTTATAATGCCATCATATTCTGTGCAGCTTACTCTTCGCTGTAAATAGAAAAGCCTGACAATATCACTGATAAATACCTTTAAGTATTGTGGTATTTCATCATGATTGTCACACTGTAAAAAAAAAAATGTTGGTTTTACTAAAAAAAAAGTAAGTAACCTGGTTGCCTTAAAATTTTAAGTTGATTGAACTGGAAAAAGTGAGTTAATACATTGAAGGAGATTGATTTTATCATCAGAAACTCAAAATAATAAGTTGTCTCAGCTAAATAAATTATTTAAGTTGTTTTGACAAAAGAAAAAATGTAGTGATAACAAATCTTGAAATTATATTTTTACAGTGTGACACGCCCACAACTTGCAAAGATCGAGGCTTCCCGAGTTTCCCACTCGTATTTACGACATTGTTCATGTTCGTTCATCTCGAAAATACGATCTTATTATTCAACGCTTCTGCCATCGCGCTCCGAGGCCTGGCGTTCACCAGCTATTCCTGTCATCATTAGCTATACATGGTTAGCAATCGCGTCGCGCGTTCATACAACGCCCTCACTGACGCGCGCGTTGTTCTTTCAGATGTGAGCTGATTAAGACTCGACGTCCGGGGCAGAAAACTGTTTTCTCAGCTTGTCTCGGATGGATAATGACCTAATTAACCCGGGCCACTTGCGTTCCTCACTCTGACTTTCATTTAGACATTCACTAGTTAGTCGTCTAATCATTCACGAGTCACTCTCTGAGTAATTAGCAATTAATTCTTTAATGTGTTTTTGCCCTAACCGAATACACAGCGTCGCTGCACTAATGCGTTTTGCCTTTGACTAAAAGTCATTTAACAGTCGCGCGACAGCAGGGAATAACCCACAGGATTTCTGCGTGCAAACACTTTTCTCTGTTTATTTATAGGCTACCATGCATACATTTATACTTATTTAATATTTAATTTTATACAATGCACATTCCTCTAATTAAAATTAAAATGTTTAATTTATACAAAAAAATGAATAGGCTATTAGTTGAGAAATATTGTTACTTTATATATATATATATATATATATGTAACCCTCTTCGTCTGTGTGCTCCCCTAGATGTCTCTGCGTTGTGTTTAAATGGTGTTGAATGAGGAGGACACAAATATCGTGGTCATCACGGTAGCAACTTTATTTTGGGCTCTCTTATTCTGCATCAGCCAGTACGCAGCACACCGCAACATCTTTCCACAAGGAAAATAGAACTGTTAGTAAACAATATTAAAAAATAAAAATGCATACAAAACTATAAAATAAAACAGCACAGCCTTAGCTGCAATTATATTAGCAATCAAATCACAGGGATTCTCAAAGATTGGGAAAAAATAACTTTCCCCATATGACAATTAAATGTCAAATGTCACATACATCCAAAATACAAAGAACAAAACCCAAAATACTCAGACAGATGATAATAACCATACAATACACAGAAAAATATACCCCACCACATGGAATTTACAACTCTTTAAATAATATCAGAAATATAAAACCATCCATCACAAATAACTGCAAATATATGTTAGTTGACATCTTTAACAGTTATATATTTTCTAAAATAACATGGATGGCCAATATAATTCAAGAAATTAAATAGATGTGGCAGAGAACACCAAAAAAACCCTCCTTACCTTTCCACAAGGAAAATAGAACTGAATTAAAAACAGCTCCACCCATGTGAAGAAGGCCTAACTCACACAGTGAAACACTCATAGAACACAGCTCCCCCCTAAGGCTGGGAGAAACATTTTACATCATTCCTACATCCACCCCCTCTTTAAATGATGCCGTCCCAGTAGTGTTAATTTTACCAGCCATTTTTAAATTTAGTTTCAGTTTTAGTCCAGTTTCAGCATCGCTTATTAGTTTTTATCACATTTAGTCGACATCATCCCATTTTTATTTAGTCTAGTTTTAGTCGACTATAAGTCGAGCATTTTAGTCTTTATTTTAGTCCAAGAAAACATAATTTTATTCGTTTAGTTTTAGTCAAAAAAAAAAAAAACTGTCAACATTTTAGTCTAGTTTTAGTCAGGACATCATTTTAACCTTTTACTTTTTTGTCAGCAGATAATATTTAACATTTCCTAAAATTATTTCACATTTCAACATTTTCTCTCATCTTTTTGATAAAAAAACACAATTTTAAGGAACACATGCAGACATGGAAGATGTTCTGACAATATTTGCATATTTATTTTGAACATTGTTAAGGTTCAAAGACACAAACACAAATGCTTGCATTAAAACAAATAAAATACACCTGACAAAGGAAACAAATAAATAAAAATAAAGTGTATTATGAACTTAACACAAGTGCTGGCTGTTTAAAGCTAGTTCACATAGAATAATAAAATAAATAGATTTGAGGTCAATGTTGTGAAAAAAAAAAAACCTCCAACTGATACAACAAAAGTGCTTTCCTGCCAGCTAGTTCACATGGTATATAAAGGTACAGTATTTAAGGTGAAACAAGGCATAGATTGCTAGAACGTATGAAATCGTTTTAACTAATCTTTTTAAAGCGTCTGTCTGCTTTAATCAAATTTAACTGAAACTATAGTTGCCCGGCCAGTATACTGGACAGTAAACTTCACATACAATTCTATCAACAAGTGGCTACGGTCGCTACGTGCTAAGAAGCTAACGCAACATAGCCAGCCTGGATACTAAATGCTATGAAAGTTAGCCATCATTAGTTAGTTTATCATTGTAACAAAATGTGTCCATATATCACGTCTCTTCTTTCTCACGAGCCCCGTGCAAAGCATGTTTACTTTTAACCTGTCGCCGCCGCCTCACCGTGAATCCAGCTCCTGTCTGCTCCATGTGTGTTGTGTAGGCTACTCTGACTGTGCCCGCCCGCTCCAGGTTTGAACGTGGGTGTGTGTGGCCGCTGTGGCGGAAGAGCTGACGAGGAGGAGGCGGAGGAGGAGACAGTATTTGACAAAACCATATCATATAATAAGATGTAATTTTCGTCTCGTCTTTGTTCGTGAACTAAAATGTCCATAGATTTTAGCCCAGTCTTTATTTACCGAACTGCATTTTCGTCTCGTCTTTATTAGTCTACGAAAATTATTTCTGATTTAGTCCCAGTTATTGTTTATTAGTGGGGATTTTAGTCTCGTCTCGTCTAGTTTTCGTTCGGTGAAAAATGTGCGTTGACGAAAATATTTTCGTTTAGTTTTCGTTAACGAAATTAACACTACGTCCCAGTCATCACTAAAAATAAAAACAAAATTAAATCAGTTTAAATCTTAAGATTAACTTTGATGTGTCTGGGTGGGGTGTGTATGTGTGTTTGTATTGCTAAAGTAGAGCTGCTTCTTCGCTTTAGCCTTTTCCCACAATTTCCTTCCTCTCTCCACCTTCTCCTTGTCAATCTCACTTTGGAGGACATGCATCTCCAAGGAGAGTCTATTTGGAGGGCGTCTTTTCCGCTCAGGATATCTCCTCTCTGGCCGCTCAGGACTGGAGACTTCCAACGACGTCTGGTCTTCATGCTCCTCCTTTTCACTCACGGTCTCTTTCAATTGACTTCCATTCTGTTCATGCTCTTCGCCCAGAACATCTGGCCATTCCACACTTGTAAACTGGGTAACAGTACCACTGTCTCCACTTTCAATTGTCTCCATTACTTCCTCTTCTTCTGAAATACTTGAGTCCATTCCAGACACTTCCTCCATGTCAGGCTCTTCTCGTACAAAGCACTTGGGGCTCATCGGGAAAAACATGCACTGGGACAGAAGATTTCGGTGGATGATTCTTTCCCGGTCACCATCTTCTTGACGAACCACATACACTGGAATTCCTGGCTGTTTCTTCACCACAATATACGGACATGGTTCCCACCTATCAGCTAGCTTCTGTTTCCCCTCGACATAACACACTTTCACCATCACTCTGTCGCCCGGTTGGAACATTTGGCTTCTGGCTTTCTTGTCATAGTGCTTTTTCTGAAGATCCTTAGCATGCCTCGACATTCGGTCTGCTTCTTCATAAGCATAGGTCAAGCACTCATGCAGAGTCTGAACATATTCACTGTACTCGCATGGTTCTCTTGCTGTTGACAGGCCAAAAAGGAGATCAACAGGCAGTCGTGGATGTCTGCCATACATCAAGAAGTATGGGGAGAACCCAGTCGAATCGTGTTGAGTGCAATTGTAAGCATGTGTCAGTGCATCAAGGTATTCATGCCATTTCGTTTTTTTATCAGGATCAAGTGTGCCCAACATATTCATCAGAGTTCTATTAAATCTCTCAGTGGTCCCATTTCCCTGGGGATGGTAGGGGCTAGTATGAGTCCTTGTAATCCCCGTCAGCTTACACAACTCCTTGACTACTGTACTCTCAAAATTTCTGCCTTGATCGGCATGGAGTCTTGCTGGGAAACCAAATCGGCAGAAGAAATTCTTCCACAGCACCCTTGCCACAGTGACAGCCTTCTGGTCTTTTGTGGGGTAAGCCTGGGCGAATCTTGAGAAATGATCGGTGACCACCAGGACGTTCTCTATTCCTCCCTTAGACTTCTCCAGGACAAGGAAATCCATGCAGATGAGTTCCATAGGGGCACTAGTGTGAATGCTCACCAGCGGAGCCCTATTTCCAGTGGGAGTTTTCCTCAGACAACATCTTTCACACTGCTCACACCAGGACTTTATTTCACAGTGCATCCTTGGCCAAAAGAATCGTTCCCGGAACAGATTCAAAGTACGCTCAAATCCCAAATGACCAGAGTCGTCATGAAGACTTGTTTTAGCCAAAAGTCGCATTTTCTCTGGCAAGACCAGTTGAGCAATGGACCGTCCCTGAACATCCTTAACTTGCCTGTAAAGAATTCCATCATTGACCACCAGCCTCCTCCACTCTTTTAAGAGAAGCCTTGCGTCTTTTCCCTTTTCCAATCTTTCTCCACGTCTTGGCTTTTTGTTTAGTGTCTTGTAATGGAGGACTGGCCCAATGACAGGGTCCTCTTTTTGACATCCTCTGATCTCCAGCTTTGTCATTGCAGGCAGCGCATCAGTACCCGCTCCATCAAATGGATTGGCTAGCTCATCAACCTGGCCCAGAAACTCTCCATCTTGGCATACAATAGTTCTCTCTTCATGCTCCCAAACATCGTCCTTCCTCCCTGACTCATCTCCACAGGACTGGACTTTCTGCGTGGAGGAAATGCACTGTGGGCAGGACTGAAGAGTTTCTATGACCTCTTGATTAGACATCCTTGAGAGTGCGTCAGCATTAGAGTTGGACTTCCCTTGTCTGTACTCTATGTCAAAGTCAAACATGGCAAGCTGTGACACCCAACGCTGACCTGTGGCATCGAGCTTCGCTGTACTCATCACATATTTAAGTGGATTGTTGTCAGTGAGCACAGAAAATTTATGCCCATAAAGGTGATCATAAAACTTATCTGTAACAGCCCACTTTAGAGCCAAAAACTCTAACTTATGTGCGGGGTAGCGGGTTTCTGGTGGTCTCAAACCTCGGCTTGCATACGCAATTACTTTTTCCACACCGTCTTGAACTTGTGCAAGGACCGCCCCAAGACCCTCACCAGAAGCATCCGTTTGTAGTAGAAATGGTAAGTTGAAGTCAGGGTAACCCAAAATTGGTGTTGTAGTTAGTCTCTCCTTCAGTACTTCAAACGCTCTCTCACATTCATCTGTCCACTCAAACGGTTTCACAGTTCCAGAAGTTCCTTTCACCCCTCTTTTCTTCTTCTTTGGGTCTCCAGAGGTAAGTCTATACAGAGGTGCCGCCAATGTTGCATATCCCTTGATAAACCGCCTGTAGTACCCAGCGAAACCAACGAACCCCAGCACTTCCTTCACACTCGACGGCCGCTTCCAGTCTCTGACTCTGCTTATCTTCTCAGGATCTGTATGAATACCCTCCGCAGACACCACATGGCCCAGGTACTGAACTTCCTTCCTTAGGAGACTACACTTTTGAGGCTTCAGCTTCAGACCATGTTTGCGGAGCCGGCTGAACACTTCTTCCAACCGCTCGAGATGCTCTTCAAAAGTCCTAGAGAAGATAATTAGGTCGTCAAGGTAGATAAGGAGGCTCTCAAAGTTCAGATCACCAAAGCAACAGGTCATCAATCTTTGGAAAGTTGAGGGGGCGTTCTGCAGACCAAACGGCATCCTGTTGGCCTCATATAAACCCATGGGGGTGCTGAAAGCAGTTTTGAGCTTGTCATGTTCAGCCACCTCAACTTGCCAGTAACCAGACGTGAGATCAAGTGTCGAGAAGAACTTTGACTTTCCCAGCGCCTCCAATGCCTCCTCTATCCTTGGTAGTGGAAAAGCGTCTCTGGTACTGCAGGAATTCAGTTTCCTGTAGTCCACGCAGATCCTCAGGGAGCCATCTTTTTTAGAAACCACAACGATGGGGGATGCATAGGGACTTTTGCTTGGCCGAATGACTCCAGCTTCTTCCATCTCTGAAATGGCCTTCCTCACTTCCTGGTACTGAGAGGGGGGTATTTTGCGATAAGGGAGGCGGAAAGGTTTAGAATCCACCAGAGGTATCTCATGTTGCACAGTGGTAGTATGTCCATAGTCCATGGAGTGTTTGGAGAAGACATCAGCATTTCTCCTCAGCAAATCCTGAAGCAACGCCAACTGCTCCTCACCTTCCACTGCTGCAGCACTAAGATCAACTCCACAAGTCATACCATTAACAGACTCAACACTGGTAGTCTGCTGCTGACTTTGACAAGATGCTGTCACTGAATTCTCACACTGACTCGAACACATGACCTGGTTTTGGCGCAGCATGT